AAATTTTTGCGAATTTAAATTACTGAAATTATAATCCCATTCTTTGAGTAGGTATTTTTTATATTTTTATGCCAATTTTTCCTAAAAATCAAATTGAAAAAAACTCATAACTAAGCCAAAAATGCATTAATTTCAATTCGGAAACCTTTCCCATGCTAGTTTTTATTAGGTTAATAAATCTGCATACTCAGTTTATCATTTTAGAATATTCGATTTTTTGCCAATTTTTGGCAATTTTAATGATGTAACCCCTTATCATTTTTTGCAAAAATGGAAATATTTTTAAAAATTTCGATTTCTTTCAGACATGCCTAGATCGACTCAGCTGTTGATGCTGATCAAGAATATATATGGTTTATACGGTCGGAAATGACTCCTTCACTGCTTTATAAGCTTCTGACTAAAATTATAATACAATATTTTATCTATTTTTACGCAAATTTTTGCTAAAAATCAAATTTTAAAAAATTCATAACAAAGCTAAAATTGCGTTAATTTTAATTCGGAAAGCTGTCCCGAGCTAGTTCTTATCACGTTAACAAATCTGCATACTCAGTGTAAAATTTTTGCGAATTTAAATTACTGAAATTATAATCCCATTCTTTGAGTAGGTATTTTTTATATTTTTATGCCAATTTTTCCTAAAAATCAAATTGAAAAAACTCATAACTAAGCCAAAAATGCATTAATTTCAATTCGGAAACCTTTCCCATGCTAGTTTTTATTAGGTTAATAAATCTGCATACTCAGTTTATCATTTTAGAATATTCGATTTTTTGCCAATTTTTGGCAATTTTAATGATGTAACCCCTTATCATTTTTTGCAAAAATGGAAATATTTTTAAAAATTTCGATTTCTTTTAGACATGCCTAGATCGACTCAGCTGTTGATGCTGATCAAGAATATATATGGTTTATACGGTCGGAAATGACTCCTTCACTGCTTTATAAGCTTCTGACTAAAATTATAATACAATATTTTATCTATTTTTACGCAAATTTTTGCTAAAAATCAAATTTTAAAAAATTCATAACAAAGCTAAAAATGCATTAATTTTAATTCGGAAAGCTGTCCCGAGCTAGTTTTATCACGTTAACAAATCTGCATACTCAGTGTAAAATTTTTGCGAATTTAAATTACTGAAATTATAATCCCATTCTTTGAGTAGGTATTTTTTATATTTTTATGCCAATTTTTCCTAAAAATCAAATTGAAAAAAACTCATAACTAAGCCAAAAATGAATTAATTTCAATTCGGAAACCTTTCCCATGCTAGTTTTTATTAGGTTAATAAATCTGCATACTCAGTTTATCATTTTAGAATATTCGATTTTTTGCCAATTTTTGGCAATTTTAATGATGTAACCCCTTATCATTTTTTGCAAAAATGGAAATATTTTTAAAAATGTCGATTTCTTTCAGACATGCCTAGATCGACTCAGCTGTTAATGCTGATCAAGAATATATATGGTTTATAGGGTCGGAAATGACTCCTTCACTGCTTTACAAGCTTCTGACTAAAATTATAATACAATATTTTATCTATTTTTACGCAAATTTTTGCTAAAAATCAAATTTTAAAAAATTCATAACAAAGCTAAAAATGCATTAATTTTAATTCGGAAAGCTGTCCCGAGCTAGTTTTATCACGTTAACAAATCTGCATACTCAGTGTAAAATTTTTGCGAATTTAAATTACTGAAATTATAATCCCATTCTTTGAGTAGGTATTTTTTATATTTTTATGCCAATTTTTCCTAAAAATCAAATTGAAAAAAACTCATAATTAAGCCAAAAATGCATTAATTTCAATTCGGAAACCTTTCCCATGCTAGTTTTTATTAGGTTAATAAATCTGCATACTCAGTTTATCATTTTAGAATATTCGATTTTTTGCCAATTTTTGGCAATTTTAATGATGTAACCCCTTATCATTTTTTGAAAAATGGAAATATTTTTAAAAATTTCGATTTCTTTCAGACATGCCTAGATCGACTCAGCTGTTGATGCTGATCAAGAATATATATGGTTTATAGGGTCGGAAATGACTCCTTCACTGCTTTACAAGCTTCTGACTAAAATTATAATACAATATTTTATCTATTTTTACGCAAATTTTTGCTAAAAATCAAATTTTAAAAAATTCATAACAAAGCTAAAATGCATTAATTTTAATTCGGAAAGCTGTCCCGAGCTAGTTTTTATCACGTTAACAAATCTGCATACTCAGTGTAAAATTTTTGCGAATTTAAATTACTGAAATTATAATCCCATTCTTTGAGTAGGTATTTTTATATTTTTATGCCAATTTTTCCTAAAAATCAAATTGAAAAAAACTCATAACTAAGCCAAAAATGCATTAATTTCAATTCGGAAACCTTTCCCATGCTAGTTTTTATTAGGTTAATAAATCTGCATACTCAGTTTATCATTTTAGAATATTCGATTTTTTGCCAATTTTTGGCAATTTTAATGATGTAACCCCTTATCATTTTTTGAAAAATGGAAATATTTTTAAAAATTTCGATTTCTTTCAGACATGCCTAGATCGACTCAGCTGTTGATGCTGATCAAGAATATATATGGTTTATAGGGTCGGAAATGACTCCTTCACTGCTTTATAAGCTTCTGACTAAAATTATAATACAATATTTTATCTATTTTTACGCAAATTTTTGCTAAAAATCAAATTTTAAAAAATTCATAACAAAGCTAAAATTGCGTTAATTTTAATTCGGAAAGCTGTCCCGAGCTAGTTCTTATCACGTTAACAAATCTGCATACTCAGTGTAAAATTTTTGCGAATTTAAATTACTGAAATTATAATCCCATTCTTTGAGTAGGTATTTTTTATATTTTTATGCCAATTTTTCCTAAAAATCAAATTGAAAAAAACTCATAACTAAGCCAAAAATGCATTAATTTCAATTCGGAAACCTTTCCCATGCTAGTTTTTATTAGGTTAATAAATCTGCATACTCAGTTTATCATTTTAGAATATTCGATTTTTTGCCAATTTTTGGCAATTTTAATGATGTAACCCCTTATCATTTTTTGCAAAAATGGAAATATTTTTAAAAATTTCGATTTCTTTTAGACATGCCTAGATCGACTCAGCTGTTGATGCTGATCAAGAATATATATGGTTTATACGGTCGGAAATGACTCCTTCACTGCTTTATAAGCTTCTGACTAAAATTATAATACAATATTTTATCTATTTTTACGCAAATTTTTGCTAAAAATCAAATTTTAAAAAATTCATAACAAAGCTAAAAATGCATTAATTTTAATTCGGAAAGCTGTCCCGAGCTAGTTTTTATCACGTTAACAAATCTGCATACTCAGTGTAAAATTTTTGCGAATTTAAATTACTGAAATTATAATCCCATTCTTTGAGTAGGTATTTTTTATATTTTTATGCCAATTTTTCCTAAAAATCAAATTGAAAAAAACTCATAACTAAGCCAAAAATGAATTAATTTCAATTCGGAAACCTTTCCCATGCTAGTTTTTATTAGGTTAATAAATCTGCATACTCAGTTTATCATTTTAGAATATTCGATTTTTTGCCAATTTTTGGCAATTTTAATGATGTAACCCCTTATCATTTTTTGCAAAAATGGAAATATTTTTAAAAATGTCGATTTCTTTCAGACATGCCTAGATCGACTCAGCTGTTAATGCTGATCAAGAATATATATGGTTTATAGGGTCGGAAATGACTCCTTCACTGCTTTACAAGCTTCTGACTAAAATTATAATACAATATTTTATCTATTTTTACGCAAATTTTTGCTAAAAATCAAATTTTAAAAAATTCATAACAAAGCTAAAAATGCATTAATTTTAATTCGGAAAGCTGTCCCGAGCTAGTTTTTATCACGTTAACAAATCTGCATACTCAGTGTAAAATTTTTGCGAATTTAAATTAGTGAAATTATAATCCCATTCTTTGAGTAGGTATTTTTTATATTTTTATGCCAATTTTTCCTAAAAATCAAATTGAAAAAAACTCATAACTAAGCCAAAATGCATTAATTTCAATTCGGAAACCTTTCCCATGCTAGTTTTTATTAGGTTAATAAATCTGCATACTCAGTTTATCATTTTAGAATATTCGATTTTTTGCCAATTTTTGGCAATTTTAATGATGTAACCCCTTATCATTTTTTGCAAAAATGGAAATATTTTTAAAAATTTCGATTTCTTTCAGACATGCCTAGATCGACTCAGCTGTTAATGCTGATCAAGAATATATATGGTTTATAGGGTCGGAAATGACTCCTTCACTGCTTTACAAGCTTCTGACTAAAATTATAATACAATATTTTATCTATTTTTACGCAAATTTTTGCTAAAAATCAAATTTTAAAAAATTCATAACAAAGCTAAAATTGCGTTAATTTTAATTCGGAAAGCTGTCCCGAGCTAGTTTTTATCACGTTAACAAATCTGCATACTCAGTGTAAAATTTTTGCGAATTTAAATTAGTGAAATTATAATCCCATTCTTTGAGTAGGTATTTTTATATTTTTATGCCAATTTTTCCTAAAAATCAAATTGAAAAAAACTCATAACTAAGCCAAAAATGCATTAATTTCAATTCGGAAACCTTTCCCATGCTAGTTTTTATTAGGTTAATAAATCTGCATACTCAGTTTATCATTTTAGAATATTCGATTTTTTGCCAATTTTTGGCAATTTTAATGATGTAACCCCTTATCATTTTTTGCAAAAATGGAAATATTTTTAAAAATTTCGATTTCTTTTAGACATGCCTAGATCGACTCAGCTGTTGATGCTGATCAAGAATATATATGGTTTATAGGGTCGGAAATGAATCTTTCACTGTTTTTCAACCTTCGGACTTAAATTGAAACCCCCTTCTTTAAAACAATATTTATTTATATTTTATAATACCCAGAGAGAGACTAAAATATATAAAATTTTAATTTTTATATTTTAATATACTTATTAATATTTATTATTTTTTTAGGTGAAATAACGTTAAAAGGCCTTAAAAAAAAGAAATTTAAATAAAACATCTGTTCCCGCCATGTGCCTAAGTTAAACGACAAATTTGAATTTAAATTCTCGATCAATTGCCGCCACAACAGTAAATCGATAAATTTCTATGACGATCAATTCCGGTATTATCGTGTTATATTGAGCTGGTCACACTTCGATGTATTTATAGTGGAAAATGGGCCGGTCATACTACAACAAATATTTCACATTTTTGCAATTGCATACTTCTGGGGATGCGTTGTAGCATACTTTTAGGCCGTACCATGAATTTGCACAAAAATTAATTTGCTTGCTGCTGCCTTCTGTTCGCCTGGTACTTCAGATCAGATTTTGGACTGAAAATGTCGAAAGTGAATCCTTGCTTTTGCCTACAACAACAACAAGATCATCTACAACAACAACAACAACAAAACCTACAACAACAACAATAAACCCTACAACAACAACAAAAACAACAAATATTAATTTAACTCCCGATTTTAGGAAATTTGTGTGTTGTTGTACAACAACCTGGATTCAATAATGGCATCTCAACCCTTATTCCCAAATAATTCCTTTGAAGTCATAATTAATAATTGGAATTTATTATAAAATGAAGCAAATCTTTGCAGCCGAAACATCATACGCCAATGGGCATACATAAAATCTATAAAATATTTTCTTAACTTAATAAAACTAAAAACGAACTAATACTAAAATACGGAAACAGTTGAATTTCCCCTTTTAGGAAGGGCAATGGCCGCATGTCCGATCCATTAGCATTGCAACCCATTCACAGGTTGGAGGATGAATCCGCCGCGGTCTCGGCCACGTTGTCAGCGGCGCCCAGTACAGATGCGAGTCCACCGCCCTTGGCTAGAGATGTGGAGCTGCTGTTCCGTTCGCGGCGAGTACGCATCAGCAGGTCAATGAGATCGAGCATCTGGTCGTCGCTGGGGCTGCACTGCAGCAAGAGCTGCTGCACAAAGGTCAGGCGCTCGACCTCGGAGCGGGGACCGCTCTTGAGGATTTCCGGCACCTGGGCCAGCAGGCCACTGCGGCAGCTCTGGCTAATCTTGGACTTGGCGCAGACATAGTCCAGCACCGAGTTAGGATTGAGGCGGTCGCACACCACCGACGAGAGATTCTCGCGGACGGCGTGGTCCAGGAAGTCCTTTGAGTGATTCTCCGACAGCGTCTCCAACACGTTTGTCTTCAGCTTGTCGTTGGCCGTCATCTGCGTGGAGAGGTACTTGGACACGATGCCGGCGCTTTTGAGTTCGCCCTGGTCAAAGTAGCGCTGCAGGACAGTCTCCAGCGGCATCTGTTCTATCACCAGATCAAGGGCAGCCTCTGGATCCACAACGGCTAGGTCCTGACCAGCCGTCTCTACCCCTGGCTCCACCTCCATGTGCTTTGTCTGCTCGACGGTGTGGCTTATGTTGTGCGTGGCCGTTGTATCGTTCCACTTCAAGCTGGTGAAGGCATCCTCTTCGGGTGCGTCGCTCGAGGACTTGTCCAATGTTTTGTCTGACGTCGCCGTTCTTGCCGTCTGCTCACTGGCAAACCGCTCGATCTCAATAATGCTATCCAGGCGACCTCGTCTCCTCAGCGCCTGACGTGCCTCACTGGTCTGGGCCACTTTCTCCATCATCAGGCAGCGCTTGGGCTTGAGGCTGCTGCGCGGCTCATCCGTGTCCCGAAGGTACTCTTTGGTCACGGACACGGGCGGGTCATGGAAGCTCACTCGCTTCCGTTTCATGGCAGGTGACTCCAAGGTGACATCGTCCAGGCTCTCGCAGCGCAGCTTGCGCTTCAATATGCTCACCGAGGGACTGGCCGAGGGCGAGGGTAATCTCTTGGAGAACACCAGCAGATCTTTGGGCGGTGGGGCCTGAATCGGAGTAGATGCGTAATCGGTGCCCGTCAGCTCGTTCAGCTCGCTGGTGGGCGTGGACACCTGCTCGGCCCGATCCAGGACACGAGCCGGTGTTCCCTGGTGTTGAGATGGACGTGACATGGAGGCATAGGGCGATCCGGTGGCAGTATCTAGTTTCTTGTTGCGGATCATGTTGATCAGCTGAGCACCGCGACCCGTCAGGTGGCCGGTGGGCTTGGGCCGCAGCGTGGGGCTCGAGGAGTTGTTCGTTTGCTTGCGATCCGGTGGGGAGTTCTGTGAAGGATAGATATTAATGCTTATTTTGGATCCATAACTTATTAAAACAGATTAAACATCTGTTTCCTTACCAAGTTGCACAGGCGCGTCGGGTTGGTCTTCCTGGGAGATGTCTCCCCGGCAGCCACTGCCATAGCAGCAGGCCCGGCTTCGGCATTGCTCCCCAGTAGTTGGGTCGAAGGCACTGTCTCCAGGGGCACAGCATCCGGCGGAGTTAGCTGGATTTCCGGAGCAGGTGGCGGCTTCTTAATCGGTTCGGGCTCTGGTTCAGTTTCGACTTCCGGGAATAGATCTTCACTCTGCACAGGGGTGGGTTTGGTAACCTTTGTCTGCTTGCTGGCAGCTGTTAAAAATACAAGTTCAGGGATTAAGATATCAGGTACAGATGCTACCTGGTTTTTGCTTACCTGCTGCAGGCTGAATGGTCGGGGGCGGTGGCATTTTCTTGGGCGATCTGAGCTGGCGTTCAGGTGTGGGCGGTGGCTGTTCTGGCTGCTCTGTTTCTTGCTGAGCCGCGCGCTGTCGCGTCTGTCGGATGGACGGCTCCTCTGCGGCAGTGCTTTTGGTCTTGGGCCCTTCCTCCTTTGGGGCCCGTGTTTTACGGCCGGGCGTCTTGCGGATGGGCGTTGTAACTGCAGATGTTCCTTGATCTTTCTCGGATTCGTCGCTGGGGGTGCTGTCGATCACCTCTTCGTCTTCGTCCTTGCCGGTCAAGGCCAGCTCGCCCTGTTTACTCTTCGCGATGACCACCTTCTTGGGCGTCCAGGGTTTTAGGGAGGCAGAGTCCTGCGACTGGCTCATGTCGTTGTACAGCGCCGGAATGTCGGACTTCTCGGCGAAGCGCTCCTTCTGACGATCCGTCAGCTTTTCGGGATTCAGGCTCCACACAGAGGGAATAATGACAAAGAGATCGTCGCCCTTGAAGATGTCCCTCACCTGGTTGGCCATGCTCTTCATGGGCAGCTTGCGGAACTTCTCCTGGATGGCCCGCTTGAACTCCTCGAGGAAGCCACCCTCGCACTTCTGCTTGTTCCAGCACTGAATGGCTCCGGACAGAGTGGGCTTCAGGGAATCGAAGACCACCATCAGCTCGTTCTGACGCAGCTCCAGCACCAGGTTGCGCAGCGTGTTTAGGCAGGCCTCGAGCATCTGCTGCGAGAACCGGTGCTCGAAGACGGTCTGCAACAGGGCAAATACGTCCTTGTAGAGGGGTGTCTCCTTGCAGAGCCCCAGCTTGAGGACGGCGGCTACGTAGGCGTCGAAGAGCTCCGCGAAATGCGGTTCGTCCTTGCTCTTTAACAGGTCTGTAAGGGTGGTCTTTAGTTCGCCAACGAATCTCCTCCTCTCCGGCGCATTGTGACCCGCATTCAGCAGCTGCTTCCATTGCTCGCAAAATGGGCCATCAAAGACATTGCTGGACCGACGACCAGCAAAGGCCGAAAGCGTTTGGAGCGGCCACAGGAGCCACGTGTCCATTAGCGAAGCATTGTGCGCCACGCGGTATTCGAGTGCATTGTTGCGTAGGTAGTTGCTCAGGGCCTGCGATACCTGCCGCCACACCTGAAGTTTGACTGCGAATCCCTCGAAGTCTTCCTCCTCGTTGGCCTGCATCAGGTGCTCGGCAAAAGAGCCCAGCAGCCGGAACTCGTTCTGGTTGCCCGCCTCAATGCGATCGGCGGCGAAGATGCAGGAGATGCTCCGCTGCAAGATGGCCGCTGGGACTTCTGTCCTGGACTTTAGGATCAGCTTCAAGAAGGCCTCCAGCACATCTAGTTGATCACTTCCAGAGACACGCTCCATGACAAGGCTCTCGCTGGCAATATGGTTGAAGAGGGCACGCACCACCCGGCCGCCCGAGGCATCTTCGGCGACCAGTACCTTCTCGATCTCACCGCAACAGGCCACGTTGAAGGGCGCCACGGCCAGGCGGAACATGGCCAGGCAGAGATTCCGCACGAGCAACTGCAGCAGCAGTTGCTCCGCCTCGGTGGCGTCATGCTGGGTGAGCAGCTTCAGCGCCGAGACAGCGGCTTGGAGGAGAGGCCGCCAGTGCTGCTGCAGCGTCTCTGTCGTCATGAGAGCCGACGGTTGGCCGAGCGTTTCCAGGCGCAGCTCTCGCAGCAAGCGATGCAGCGCGTCACTGTGCTCCACACCCCAAAGGGCCACCAGGCAGGGTAGGGCCAGCTCTCGGGCCGTTTGGTAATTGTGGGCCAGACCCGTGGGCAGGTTGCGCGATCCACCACCGAACGTAAAACACAGAAAATGCTCCACGGCGCCCTCAAAGGACTTGGGCAGCTCCTTGTCCAGGCAAGTAAGCAGGTACCACCAGACACGCAGTTTGATGCCGCTAACGTGCGAAGAACGCGACTGCGAGGTCCTCAGGGGGATAAGCAGCAGGCGAAGCCTCTTTCCAGAGGCCAACTCGTCGTAGGCGGCGAAGATCTTGATGAGCACACGCCAGCAGAGGAAGGCCTCCGAGCGGACGCCATTGTCCGGGTTACGGAAGCCCAGTTCCACCACGGCGAGGAATTTGTTGATGTACACGCAGCCGCGCAGCAACTCCTCGTCCATGATCTGCACCAGCAGCGTCCAGATCTTGTGCCAGTTGGAGTTCTTGGCGTCGCGCATCTCGCCAATGAGGTTTACGTACTTGTTTACGAACTCACCTCGGATGCCGGGCCAGCACCTGGCCGAGTGGATGGAGGACACGTCCAGGGCCACCAGCGCCTCAGCCAGTGCGCCAACGGCGGAGTCCTGTATCTTGCGGTCTTTATCGAACATCAGCGGCAGGATGTCTCCCAGCCAGAACTCGACCAGCTCTTCCTCCGAAAATGAAGTGGCTATCAATCCGGAGCTCTTGCAGCTGCTGGCCAACAGGTCGATCATCTGCGGGGGAATGCAAGCGATGGAAGGGGTTTGGTGCTAGGTGAGGGGGGACCAGCGTGCCTACTTACGTTGCAATAATGCTGACGGCGGCCAGCGGCGAGCACCTCTTTGGCGGATAGCTGCACCGTGTGGTAGGAGCGCCCCGCCTCTGCGCCGAAGTCCATGTCCATGTCAGCGTTGGGATGCTCTCAATGTGCTTGCTAGGGTACTTTTCTTTCCGCCCTTCCGCAAATGCCACAAGATGTTTTTCGCGCTGTTTGTAGAATAAGAATAAGAAAAGCGCGGGAACAGCCGTAACTAGAGGTGGCAAAAGCAAGGTGTCATGGCTCGATAACCGATAACTGCTCGCAGCCTTCCAACACTGAAATTAAACATCTGGCAACTCATGTGGGATAAAACGCGGGTTTTTACTAGTCTTTTGAAATTGAATATGAACATCGATGTAAATTTAAAGCTGGTTTAAATCTAGGTGTTATAGAAACAAAATCAGTAAGTAAATAACATGTTTTTTTTATAGACTTATACTTTATAGTCCTTCTCAAGAGATCTTTACCTGTTTGAACAATTTTAATCATAGTAATTACAAATCCCATCTATATTTTAAACATTTTTGTCATCTTTATTAGGAAATAAATATTACACACAGAAATGAATGTCATATAATTTCGAGTTCACGTTTACCCCATTGCTATGCGAAATGCATCGTTTGTTTTTGGGACGAGAGGTTCGTTCTCTTCCTAATTAATTAGCTGAACACAATTTTGCGGCTGCGAACCGTCGAAAGCTTCGTCGATTGAAAGGGCAAAATGAAAAACTGATAATTAAACTTGGTTTAGCAACAGCTATTACACATATTATATATATATATATATATGTATATATTTGTCAGTAGGTTATACATATAGTATGTGTGTGCACAGTTGTGCACTTGAATAATTAATAAAAATAATACATACAGTACGGATACGAATACAAATACACGGTTTAAATATATATATAAAAGAGAACTAAGGTGGACCAAAAGGGGCTATTACACATGTATCTCGTATATGCATATATAATATATATGGATATAAATAGTGAAAAATAGTCAAAAACATTTTACATATACATCGTATAGGGGCTCATACATATATAGTACATACATATAGGTAATATATAGATTAGTATAAATAATTATTATTATGTAGGTTCCTTCGTTAAATGCGATTCGATTTCGTTTCGTTTCGATTTAGGTCTAACTTAGGTCGTTAAGTGTTAATTGTTTAGAGATTTACATGCGACTACCCAGCTTAGATGTTGTTATCCGATTTATCATTTATCATTATGTTTAGGTTTTGCTCATCAATTACTTTAGTTTAGTTTAGGTTAATTGTAATATTAGTTACGCTCCGATTTGCACACAATTTAGTTTAGTTTTGTTTGCGACTAATCCTAGGAAAACACTTGCAACTATTTGCTGGAAATTCGTTACACGTTTTGGGGGCCTTTGTTTCGTTTCGATTCTTTGTGTTGTTGTTTCTCTTTCTCCTCCGATTATCTCTCTCTTTCTCTACATTCCTTTGAGCGACTTAGCCTAATGGGGTGTTTATCATTATTATCCTTTACTCGTTTTTCTTTGAGACTCCTGCGCGGCTCGTTTAAAACGCCAGCCGTTGCAGGATTTGTAATGCGCGTGTGTGTGTGTGTGCTGTGTGCGGATTTCTTACTCCTTTTCTTTTTATACCCCTGCAGGATATCATATTGGTCAAAAGATTGTAGCGTATCCAAGGACATAAATGTATATATATAAATATAAATATATTCCTGATCAACTGTTTGTTTCTTTGCAAATTAGTCTCTCTGTTTTGAAGATTTTCTCAATTCTAACTCGTATTTAAGTGGGAACGAGCCAGATCGGACTACTATATCATATAGTTTCTATAGGAACGATCGGAAAGTGTAGAGAGAAATGCAAAATTGACAATCTGCAAGGGTATACTAGCTTCGGCGTGCCGAAGTTAAGCTTCCTTTTTTGTTTAACTTTAACTTTAGTTTTAGTTAATTTAGTTATTCGACTCCATCTGGTATCTGGCAACAACAACTGTGTTTCTGTTTCGTTTTCTATCTACAAAAGGAATCGGTTTTCTACGTCCAATTGGAGGCGAGTTCCTTGACTTGTGGCGGCGGAGGGGAATGTATGTTCGTTCATGCTGGGCGGGGAAGGGGGTGGTACTGGACTGGAGGACTCTTTTGGGGGTCAGGACGTGGCACATGCAATGACTTGCTTAAAGCTTGATTACTCTGATGATGATTCTGATGGCGATGACGATGTGCAGGGAAAGGCACGACGAAACGTGCGAAAGAAGGAGCTGGGCACGAGCCGGGGACAACGGGGTCTCAGCTAATTTCCAGCGGACTTGGCAGGGGCTACAGTTGCGTCTCACATATATAGATACCGGGATCAGGATCCGGATCGGAATCTGAATCTGAATCAGGATCGATCGATCGCGTATTATGGTTCTGTTATTATGTACATCGCCTGGGTAGCTTGCACTAGTAAGTAGATATTATATATGCGAATATATATAGAATACATGTGTGGCCAGGACGCGGACGGTCCTTGGCCGAAGGATTAGATATATGTACGTATATATATATATATAAAGAGAAGCGGAAGGGGGACGAAAGCAAATCGATGCCGCTGTGTCTACAAAGATTATGCGATTAGCTGCTGAATATAGAGATGTATATGTGGTATATGTATATGGCATATGGTTCGAGTACGAGTACGAGTTCGAGTTCGAGTTCGAGTATATATACGAGTATATATGGGCGTTGAAGGCATCCTCCACAGGCTGGACGATGGGGCAGGGCAACCAGAAGGATGACTTTGGGAATGAGGGAACGGGGAACGGGACAAGGGCTCGGGGACATCGAACCCCCCATGTTGTACTACCAGTGCATCATGCGCAACTGATCGAGGATGCGCTGCTTGAAGAAGGTGCCCAGCATGCCGAAGACCGTCGATACGGCGGCCACGCCCATCATGACCTGCATGATGCAATGGATGCCGGACAGCTCCTCCTCCGTCTGCTGGCGGTGACGATGGCGCGCCCTATGATGCCGCCTTCCGCCGTTCTCCTGCAGCCGCTGCAGTCGCTCGAGATCCTCATCGAACTGCGGCACAATGGCCAGGTTAATGACCTCCGTTTTTGAGAGCAACTGCTCGTTGGCAATCGTGTGCGCCTCGGTGGCACCCTTGCTGGTGGCCTCGTTGTGCTCCTTCTCGCGTTCGCGCTGCTTCTCCAGCTCACGAACCCGTGACCGCTCATCCAGCATTGTGTTGTCGCGACTGAAGTCAAAGTCCCGGCTGGAGGGAATCAGCGGCTGCTGCAGCGTTCGTCCCGAGGTGGGAAACTCGGCCAGGTTCACCTTGGTGAGGAACTGATGTCCGCCGAGCGAAGCACTGCGTGATGTGTCCGAGTCCGGCAAGGGCGGTGGAGGCTGCTGGGTGGGCAGTTGGTCGCGTACTCGCGTCTCCTGGAACTGGTTCTTCTTGATGCCCAGGACCTCGGATAGCGGTCGATTGATCATCGGTAGCAGTGAGTCGGAGGTGGGCCGGATGATGAAGGATCCGCCTGGTTGTACATTCGCAGGCGGTTCCACAATCTCCGGCTGCAGTGGCTTGGGTGTGCTGGCCACTAGAGAGGGCTTTCCTGCGCTTCCCTCCCCTGCACTGTCCTCGGCATCCTCGCTGTCCGTGTAAACAGAGTCCTCCGCTGAGGAGGAATCCTCGGACTGGGACTTGGGCGTCTCCGGCTTGCCAGGCGTGAACTTGTGCGTGAGGTTACGGATGGGCTCGTACTTGGAGCTCTCCGAGTCTCCGCGGTAGAGCAGCGCCACCTTGCCATCGGGCGTCAGAACAGGCGTAATCTTGGGGTGTGGCGACGGAAAGCGATGACTGCTCTCGGGGTCCGGCGACAGGGCGTCGAAGTCGGTGAGCGTCGGCTTCTTTTGCTGCTGCTGCGCCGCGTCCTTGTCCGTGGCCTGATCCTTGTCCGTCTGCTGGTACACGATGCTCACCTTGCCCAGCGGCGTCGATATGATCTTGATGGCATCATTGCCGTTCTTGCGGTGGTAGGGACCGCTCTTTCGCTGCTGCTGCTGGGAGCCAAAGAAGCCGCGCCCCTGATTCTCGCCCGTATCGGTGAACTCGTCGTCGACGCCGTCATCGCCGTCCTCGCCATCCTCGTCATCGTTGGCAAAGTGGCCGCTGCTCTCGCGCAGATCGATCGCAGTGCTCGGCACGGCCACCGCGACGGCTGCCTCTGGATTGGCCTGCGACTCGGTGAGCAGTTTCTTGCGGATATTCTCCAGCTGGCTCTCGCGGAAGCTGCTGCTTGGCCGGAAACGTGACCGGAAGCCGCCGAAGCCGCTGCCCTCCTCGTTGAGGAAGTGCTCTTCATCGGCTCTGGGTTTCGCAGTTCTTGGCCGCTCCATGGCTATGCGTTCATCATCCTCGTCATAGCCCATATCCTCCTCCTCCTCCGGCACACTCACCAGACCCTTGGGATCGGGCAGCTGTTCGGGCTCCTCATTATCGTCCTCCTCCTCTGCATAATCATCATCGATACCATCATCATCATCGTCATCGTCTTCGAAGACGGTATCATCGTAGAGATCGGCCTGCATGCCATCCGTCTGCTCCGTGGGATAGTCTCCGTCCACACTCTCGTCCTCCTCCTTCTCCGCATTCACACTCACACTCCCGTCCTCCGCCCCCGTAACATCCGTGCTATCCCTAGTGCTATGGCTAAGACTATCGTTACTATTACTACTACTATAAGTTAGATTTAAACCTGTTCCTAAACTAACATCTAAGCTGCTATTGCTCCGTTCGAGCAATTGGGTAGTCGCATCTTTCAGTCAGTAGCATTTCTTGGTGCATCCGCACTTGCGCACGATGTCCAAGTTCTTGATGTACTTGCGGTTGTTGCTGCACACCATGCGCACCTATGAATCGAGAGAGAGAGAGAGAGAGATTAGTGGTATGATTTGACCAAGTCAAAGGATTCGCTTACCTTGCGCCGCCTCACAATCTTGGCCGCGCAGCACTGATTGCCGCAGCCGCCCACGCACTTGGCGTACTTCAACGGCTGCCTGGAGCGGCAGTCGTTCTCCGTGTAGTACTCACGCACCTGCTCCTTGCGACAGGTGCTAGCCGCTGATGATGGGAGGAAGAGCGAGAGAGAGGGGGAGAGAAAAGAAAAGTCAAAGGAGCTCAATTAGTCAGTGGCTTGAGGTGTAGT